TCTGTTTTAGGTGTTTAGAGGTAATTTCAGGAATATACAACTATATCCCTGATGACTCCAGTGAAATTACCATTAACTTATCCCAAGCATCCAAACATGAGTGTTCCCACAAATACACATGTGTGCAGTGTATGAAGCAAAATATACAATTTGACAAGAAAAGTTGAAGTCTGCTTGAGGGGGTTCTGGTAACAAACAATACACTGTATGCGCATGACGATCAAGTGTTTAAAGGGTAAATAAGCTAAATATTCATGACTTTTTTCATCCATTGTCTATTTCGAAGCCATTGAGATATTATTAAATTCATGACACAACTATAATACATGACAACATCATATGCAATTGCAAACAATTTTCAAAGGAGTAGGGTACATAATTGCAATATAAAACATATAAGTAAATTATACATGTCATGAACTTACCAGTTTGTGTTGAGTTAAATTAAAAATTTTTTATGACATCAAATATTATTTATTTATTTTGCAAATCAAAACTTAACATTTTAAAATTCTCATGTTTTGTATTGTGCCCGCAATATATTAATGGTATTAACCGCTGTAAATATGATATACAATTTAAAATTTTTAATACATTAGTACATTACATTTGCACTCAAAAGTTCAGGAAGTGAGTTTCTAGAAAGGATGAAAACTCCATTTTATGTAGGGTATGTAAAACGTAATTGTTGTTTACTGTTTATTTTGTATTCAGGTATGGGGAATTTAAGCGATGAGAGTTGCAAAATTTGCAAATGTAGTCTGACTTGTCTCTTTGACGTTCTAACAGAAGGTTCTTCCATTCATGATTTAAATGTGAAACTTAACCTTGTTGCTCAAGATCTCTCAACATGGACTCAACAAAACCGAATGGTGACCAATACATTGAAAACCAAGACCATGCTCATTCATTCTCCCCAACAACTTAAGAATACTTCAGACCGTTCTCTATCAGTTACTCTTAATGGCAACATACTTGCACAGGTGAAGCAAGCAAAAGTGTTGGGTTTAACGCTTGACGAGTTTTTAATTTGGACCAAGCATATTGACAACTTGTGTTCAGCAATCAATAGTAGACTTGCTTTATTACGCAGGATTAAACCCTTTTTAACTAAGGACTGTGCTCTTCGTTTCTATAACTCCTGTATTAATTCAAGTCTTATCTACTGCTCTGTAACTTGGGGAAACTGCTCAAAAACACTTTTACTTCGCATTCTTCGACTGCAAAAGCGTGCAGCACGTATTATTCTAGACGCTGACTTTTCTACTTCTGTTCTTCTTTTTTCCCAGATTCGAATAATCCCAATTTTTGATCTTGTTAAATTTAGGAAGCTTCTCTTACTA